CTTGGCTCATGCCAACCTGCACCTAATACCCTCTCTGAGATTAGATAAGCGAGGTGTATTTCTCTGGGGAGAGAGTGTGTATTGCATTACAGACAGGGGAAATTTCCATTTGTGGATGGCATATATAATATATTTATATATATATATGAAATTCTTAATCTGGTTTCGGTACTCTTAAGCGTGACCGTGGGTTTATGCATGTGTCAACCACCTGGCTGACAGAAAAAAATAGACATTATAGTCTTTGAAACATACTGATATAAAAGTTGCTGGGTGTAGTTGGTAACCACAGCATGACACCTGGCCCAGCCTGCCTAGCCATGTCTCCTCAAAACCAGTGGAACGCTATTCACCTCCCTCTCAAAGGAGGATATTTTTAGACATGGTATTCATCTTATCGTCATCAAAAAAACCAAGAGCTGTGATTTGAACCAAGAACCTTTCAGCTCTAAGTCCAGTGCTCAACGGTGCAGCCACAGAACAGTGAAACACATTCCATTCCCTCCCCCCAACTCTGCCCTGTTGTTGTTTTAACTTGCGCTGCCACGAAGAGTGGAAAAACACACAAGGTAAGTTTCTGATGCAACACAGAAGGGATGCATTTGTGAGGGGAGGGAGGGTTACAGCTGCAGTTAAATGTAAAACGTAAACCGACATTGCAAGGAACAGTCATGGCTATAGAACAGAGTAGCGACTTGGGAGATAAAGAACAGAGTATATCCAGTAGGGACAAAAAGCTCAACAAAGGAAATAGGGCATTAATGAGTAGGGGAGAGTAGGGGAAATAGTAAGAGGTCAAAATTAAAGGTGCTATATCTGAATGCACGAAGCATTCGTAACAAGATAAACAAATTAAGTGCACAAATAGACATAAATGGGTACAATCTAGTGGCTATTACTGAGACGTGGTTACAGGGAGACCAAGGATGGGAGCTAAACATTCTGTGGTATTCAACGTATAGGAAAGATAGGCAATGTGGAAAACGAGGTGGGGGGTTAGCCCTGCTAATAATCAGAAATCAGGATGTAGAGTCAGTATGGGTGGAGGTAAGAAACAACAAGAGGCAGAAAACACTAGTGGGATTAGTTTATAGATGCCCAAACAACAGTTACAATAGTGGGCAAGGTAATAATCAGGGAATTAGAGGAGCATATAGCAAGGAGAATACACTAATAGTGGGTGATTTCAATCTTCATATAGACTGGGAAAACCAAATTGGCAAAAGTAAATTAGAGGATGAGTTTATAGGATAATAATAATAAAAATAATCCTTGCATTTGATATAGCGCTTTTCACGTCTTCTAGACGTCCCAAAGCGCTTCACAGAATATACTATAAATGCATTAGAGAGAGTTTTCTAGAACAATATGCTGAGGAACCAACAGGGAACAGGCTATCTTTGATCTTGTTTTGTGTAATGAAATAGGGCTAATCAGCAATCTGGAAGATAAGGCTCCTCTAGGGCAGAGTGATCAGTACATGATGGAATTTAACATTAGAGAGTGATGTAGTTGAATCTGAAGCAAGGGTCTTAAATTTAAATAAAGGTAACTTTGCAGGTATGAGAGAAGATTTGGCTAAAATAGAGTGGGAAATTAGATTAACAAATGATGATAGACCAGCAATGGCAAACGTTTAAAGATATAATACATAATTCCCAGTGACCACATATTCCCTTGAAAAATAAAAATACCACAGTAAAAGTGGTTCAACCTTGACTAACTAGAGAAGTTAGGAAAAGTATAAAATTAAAAGAAGAGGCCTATAATACAGCCAAAAAGAGCAGTAAACATGAGGGAGGGCTTTAGAGATCAGCAAAAGAAAACCAAGTCACTGATTAAGAGGGAGAAAATGGAATATGAGGGTAAACTAGCTGGGAACATAAAGACAGATTGTAAGAGTTTTTACAAGTACATAAAGAGGAAGAGACTATCAAAAGTGAATGTGGATTCATTGCAGGCAGAGCCAGAAGAAATTATAACAGGGAATAAAGAAATGGCAGTCATTAAACAAATATTTTGCTTCTGTCTTCACGTTAGGGGATACTGAAAAGTTATCGAAAATAGAGGGGATCCTGGAGGCTAATGTTAGTGAGGAACTTAAAGAAATGAACATCAGTAAAGCAATAGTGCTAGAGAAATTGATAAGATTAAAAAACGATAAATCCCCCAGACCTGATGGCCTGCATCCTAGGGTTTTAAAAGGGGTGGCTGCAAAGATAGTGGATGCTTTGTTTTTGATCTTCCAAAATTCCCTGGAATGGTTTCCATTGATTGGAAGGTCGCAAACTTAACGCCGCTATTTAAGAAGGGTGGGAGACAAAAAATGGGGAACTATAGACCAGTTAGTCTGACATCGGTGGCAGGGAAAATTCTAGAGTCCTTAACTAGGGACGTCGTCGTGGGGTACTTAGAAAATCATAATATGATTAGCCAGAGTTTTACGAAAGGGAAATCATGTTTAACAAATCTTTTAGAGTTTTTTGAGGATGTAACTAGCAGGTTAGATAGGGGGAACCAGTAGATGTGGTGTATTTGGATTTCCAGAAGGCATTTGACAAGGTGCCACATAAAAGGCTGTGGCATAAGATTAGAGCCCATGGAATTAAAGGTAATATATTAGTATGGATCGGAGAGTGGTTAACAGGAAGAAAACAGAGAGTAGGGATAAACGGGTCCTTCTCAGATTGGCAGGATGTGACTAGTGGAGTGCCACAAGGATCAGTGCTTGGGCCTCAATTATTTACAGTCTATATCAATGATTTAGATGAGGAAATAGAACTTAACATATCTAAATTCGCGGACGATACGAAGGTAGGTGGGAGAGTAAGCTGTGAGGATGACACACGAAGAATGCAAAGGGAAATAGACAGGCTAGGTGAGTGAGCCAGAAAGTGGCAGATGGAGTATAATGTGGGGAAGTGTGACATTATTCACCTAGGTAGTAGAAAAGCGGATTATTTTCTAGAGGGGGAGAGACGAAGTAGTGTTAGTGTTCAGAGGGATTTGGGTGTCCTTGTACACCAGTCACAAAAAGTTAGTATGTAGGTACAGGAAGCAACTAGGAAGGCTAATGCCATGTTGGCGTTGTTGCAAAAGGGTTAGAGTACAAGAGTAGGGAAGTCTTGCTGCAGTTATATAAGGCCTTGGTGAGACCGCACCTAGAATATTGTGTGCAGTTTTGGTCTCCTTATTTAAGAAAGGACATACTCGCCTTAGAAGGGGTGCAGCGTAGATTCACTAGTTTGGTTCCTGGGATGAGGGGTTTGACCTATGAGGATAGGTTGAGTAAACCAGGCCTATAATTCTCTAGAATATAGAAGAATTAGAGGTGATCTTATAGAAACCTATAAGATTCTTAAGGCTCTTGACAGGGTAGATGCCGTGAGACTGTTTCCCCTGGTTGGAGAATGTAAAACTAGGGGTCAAGATTAAGGATCAGCCTTTTTGAACTGAGTTGAGGAAACATTTCTTCACTCAGAGGGTAGTGAATTTGTGAAATTCTCTACCCCAGAAGGCTGTGGATGCTCAGTCCTTGAACATATTCAAGACTGAGGTTGATAGATTTTTAAAAACTGAAGGGCTTAAGGGATATGGGGTTAGGGCAGGTAAATAGAATTAGGTTAGAAGATCAGCCATGATCTTATTAAATGGCGGGGCAGGCTTGAGGGGCCGAATGGCCTACTCCTGCTCCTATGTCATATGGTCTTATTCGCTTGTCACCTTTCCCTCTACCATGGGTCTCTGGAGGTGTGCTGCCAGTGAGGCCTGGTGAGGCTGGGGTGGTGGTGGGATGGAATAAAGAGATTTTATACACACAAGTATATACATACAAAATTTAAACCAGCAGATTTTTATTCAGTGCTGATCCTGAACACTATTCATTTTAGCCACAACACGACGTTACACAGTTTTTCCTGACCTTTTCTACTTGGGTAGGAACTCCCAGTGGAGGCGTTTTTTTTTACAAGAATACTGTTAGTTCCTATTTTAAACCTCACACAGTACCAGTACGTTAACCATTTACTATCCAGTTCTGTATAAGCATTGGAGCTCTGTAGGTAGCCAAAATCAACAGCCAAGGAGCATGCCATTCTTTATACACAGCACTGCAAGCACCATTATCTGAATAGCGACAGGGCACAATTTCCTGTTTATGAGGAACTAGAATTAAATTAAAGTTGGATTCATTATGATACAACACCCAGGTTTCAGTTTGTAATTGTAATCTGACAAGCACCTTAAAATACACAGTCAATGCACTCCACAGTAAATCTTGCAATAAGCCGTTTGAAGAAAAGTCATTTTAAAAAATAATAATTTGGTCACTCAATCCATGGCTGTTTGTGGGATGCTGCTGTGCCCAATTGCTGCCATGTTTCACCCACAAAATATACAGTCAATTCAATTCACAATACATCTGTGAAGCGCTTTGAGACGTGTCAACGACATGATAAGGCACTATATCAAATGCAAGGATTATTATAGTATATTATAAAAGAAATGTTAAAGTTGCATCAAATTTAATATTGCAACTGCTAAACTATTAAACAATGGCCCTGTGGTTTTCAGGATCATTTAGAACAAAGCAGAAACATTTCAATTCCACACTGCTTTCTTTTGCTGGAAAGGAAATAGGAAGGAAATAAACGATGGCTTCACTGATCTTCCTACAAATAGCCTGAACTCCTGGAAAACTATTCATTTCATACCCTTTTTTTCTGAGACTGTGCCTAAATGAACAGGGTTTGCAAGACATTTTTCAGACATCTCAACAACGTGACAAAGCTCTACATCAAACACAAGGTTCATTGTTATTATTTTACAAATAAAATCTAACAGTGGATTATAGCGTGATTCGCTGTTACACTGAAAGTCAGACGGTGAACCTTTCTCTCTCTCCCCCTCCTTCTTCTCGCTCACTGAAGGAGGCAGCAAATCTGAAACATGCCAATAAACAAGGCGACGAAATAACCATTGGAATAAAAATAAAAGTCTACCTGGATTCTCGGATCCACTTCTTCCTCCTCCTCTTCTGGCGCCTGGATCACTTTGCTTCCTCGCGATAAACCGTCCATCTTATTGCTGTTTTCTTTTAATTTTTTGGGTTGGAATTAAAAATATTTACAAATTTCAACAATGCAAAATACGGGAAAGTGTGGGGGTGGGGTTATTACATTAAAAAAAAGAGGCAATTAAGGATCTATGTAGATTGTGTATATGTGTATAAAAATATATATGAAACCAAGAAAAAATGACTGAAAGCAGAAAGGCAAAGAGGAGTGAGTGAGAGAGTGAGTGAGTGAGTGAGTGAGAGAGAGGATGTGTTTGGGGGCAAAGCTCAGAGGCAACATCTGGATTGCATTCTGTAACAACAGCTGGAGAGCAGACCTTCCCCTCCTCTCTCAGAGAGAGAGAGAAAAAAATTCCACGCAACCAGGGCAGGAAACACCCTAAATCACTGTTGATATGTGTGCGGGGAATAAAAGAGAAAACATGAGCTGAGGCTGAGGCTGAAGGGTCGGTGGACACAGCCTCCGCCCTGTGATTTCACCTTCTCTGTCCTGAGAGGAAAATCCTACTGACGTCTCTGGTCTAATCTTCCCTTTCCTTTCTGAGCTCCAGTGAGGAGGATCTGCTCTGTGTGTGTGTGTGTGTGGCTGCTCTGCTCTGTGTGTGTGTCTGGCTGCTCTGCTCTGTGTGTGTGTGTGTCTGTCTGTCTGCTCTGTGTGTGTGTGTCTGTCTGCTCTGTGTGTGTGTGTCTGTCTGCTCTGTGTGTGTGTGTGTGTGGCTGCTCTGCTCTGTGTGTGTCTGGCTGCTCTGCTCTGTGTGTGTGTCTATCTGGCTGCTCTGTGTGTGTGTCTATCTGGCTGCTCTGTGTGTGTGTGTCTCTGTCTGGCTGCTCTGCTCTGTGTGTGTGTCTGTCTGCTCTGATCTGTGTGTCTGTCTGGTTGCTCTGTGTGTGTGTGTGTCTGGCTGCTCTGCTCTGTGTGTGTGTCTATCTGGCTGCTCTGTGTGTGTGTGTGTCTGTCTGGCTGCTCTGCTCTGTGTGTGTGTCTGGCTGCTCTGTGTGTGTGTGTGTGTCTGGCTGCTCTGATCTGTGTGTGTGTCTGGCTGCTCTGTGTGTGTGTGTCTGTCTGGCTGCTCTGATCTCTGTGTGTGTGTCTGTCTGCTCTGCTCTGTGTGTGTGTGTGTCTCTGTCTGTCTGCTCTGTGTGTGTGTGTGTCTCTGTCTGGCTGTCTGCTCTGTGTCTCTGTCTGTCTGCTCTGTGTGTGTGTGTGTGTCTGTCTGTCTGCTCTGTGTGTGTGTGTGTGTCTCTGTCTGTCTGCTCTGTGTGTGTGTGTGTGTCTGTCTGTCTGCTCTGTGTGTGTGTGTGTGTCTCAGTCTGTCTGTCTGTCTGCTGTGTGTGTGTATCTGTCTATCTGCTCTTTATGTGTGTGTGTGTGCAATCCCTGTCTGTGTGTGTGTGTGCAGTCCCTGTCTCTGTCTGTTTGCTCTGTGTGTGTGTCTCTGTCTGTCTGTCGGCTGTGTGTGTGTGTGTGTGTCTGTCTGCTCTGTGTGTGTGTGTGTGTGAGTGCAGTCCCTGTCTCTGTGTGAGTGCAGTCCCTGTGTGTGTGAGTGCAGTCCCTGTGTGTGTGTGAGTGCAATCCCTGTCTGTGTGTGTGTGTGAGTGCAGTCCCTGTGTGTGAGTGCTGTGTGTGCTGTGCTGTGCTGTGTTGGCTGCTGTCACCCCTCTGCTCTCCTCCTATCGCCGCCGCTTTGTTACAGCGTTTTCACCGCAACATCGAGTCACCTCTCAGCAAAATCCGCCCCTTCCGATCATCTCAGTGCAGCGCAACACAGACAGCACCACAGGAGGGTCAGTGCAACCTTCTCAACACCACTGTACAGCCAACTTCCCTCACTCCCTCACTCCCTCAGTCAGTCACTCACTCACTCACTCCCTCACTCACTCAGTCACTCACTCACTCACTCCCTCAGTCACTCACTCACTCCCTCATTCACTCCCTCACTCACTCACTCCCTCACTCACTCAGTCACTCCCTCACTCACTCCCTCACTCAGTCACTCACTCCCTCACTCACTCACTCACTCCCTCACTCACTCACTCACTCATCACTCACTCCCTCACTCACTCACTCATTCACTTACTCCCTCATTCACTCACTCACTCCCTCATTCACTCACTCACTCAGTCACTCCCTTACTTACTCACTCACTCATTCACTCACTCAACATTAACACCAGGTAGAGACATGAGCTTTTAAGATTTTAAATCATTTTTTATTTACAGTCAATTCACTTTACAGTATATCCTGTGAACCCCTTCGAGACGTCTCAACGACGTGATATAGACCTACATCAAATGCAAGGATTATTATTATCATTATTAATTAGGGATTGTGTCTAACCCACTCTCTCTTCATTTCAGGAATGCGAGGATCTGAAGGCAAAATGTCTTGAACGTGGTTTAGAAATAAAAGGAGATTTGATCGCATCCCCGATTGCACCTATTTTATTCTTTAAATGTACTTGAATTTTTTTTATCCTGCTCAAGGTGAGGGAAACCATGGTAAGCAAGGTGTTCGTAGATTCAACTCCCCCCCCACCCCCTCCACCCAGCCCTACACACACACATACATACACACATTCACCCCACCCAACTCTGTCACCCCCAGTTTGCATCAAACACAGGTTGGATTCAACGAGACTATATAAAGAGCTTCTTCTACTATACCCCCGACTCCTACCTCAGAAGAGCTCACCCTGCTGCATCAAAGTGGCATTTTAAAGTCCGCAATAATACAAACAGAAGTCGCTGGTCAGGTATTTTAAACCCCTGCTGTTCTCACGCAAAGCTCTGAGTCAGATTTCATTGTCTTTTGTGCTATAATCCTTCCAGGAACAGAGTTGCGGTGCGTAGATGTATGATAGTAATCTTTGCATTTGATATAGCTCCTTATCACGGCATTGAGCTGTCTCAAAACGCCTTACAGGAAGGAATTACTGTGACTGTGCATTTGTGGGTGAACGAGACAACAACAACTTGGATTTATATAGTGCCCTCCACGCCGGACGGAGGCATCTCAGAGCGCTTTACAGTTTCGGTCAATATACACACAGCAATGTCCTACAAACAACCATGAAGTGAATCACCAACTTTTATCTGGTTCATTTCATACAGCTAGCAGAGAAAAGCGAGTTTCTTTCCATGAGTTTAGAACGAACCCCAGTCTCAAAGGTGAGAGCAAAGTGTATAACCTGCCAACGAGCAATCATTAATTTATTTATTATTATTATTATTTTCATGAAAAATTAGGGCTCTTTTTTACAAGTAAAAATTGAAAACGTATTGTCAAAGTATGCATTGCAGCTGACACTAATTTGCCCCAGTTACCTGAATGGTGGCAAGTAAGAGTTCAATAAATTTATTGTGTATTGGAGCTATGTAGTCAGGAACTGTTTGAAGATACTATTTAATTTCACTTTCCTGTCACTCTTTGCAAGATGTAGTCTTGCCTGTCTATAGCCTGTTCTCATACTTTGCATTAATCTTCCCTATGCTGATGATTCCCAACATGACACAGTTACTATTCATCACAGAATATCATTCTGTCGGTAAAGCTTGGAGATAGCAACTAAAGACAAGTAAAGGGATGACAGGTACATTTACTTTATAATCTTATTTAATTAACAATAAAGGTTTATGGATTTTTTTAAAACAAGAAGATAAGCTCTGATTGGCACAATAGGATGGCAAGATTTAGGACCTGAGTTCAAATCCGGCCCAAACAGTTTCTTCCCTTTGCCCTTCCCTAACAATACTAACAAAATCCTATCATCATAATAATAATAATAGTAATAACAGGAATTTGAGAGCCGAAACAGAAACAGAAGCTATCAGAATATCAGCACAAGATGAAGCTCTTATTACCCTTTATTATGAAAATAAGATTTTGAAGAAAAACATTGATCTGAAATGCTGAATATGCCATCAAGCAACATGTAATGTCATCATGATCAGCCCTAGCGCTATTAGAGTACCTGAATCAAAGGCTGGGCGAAACGTTAGGCAGGTTTCCTTACTCCACACACCTATGTTTACCTAGTAGTAAGTAGGAACCTGTTTTTAGTTGATTAGCAGATCACTTTCCAGGGGTAATAATCCCTTCAAAAAATAACTGAATTAAAAAATATATAATAATTTGGTCACAAAATTAATTCCTATAATCATCGCTGCAACTGACTCTGTACTTTGTGAGCGAAATGCGGTAGCCAGTTGCACACAGCAATATCCCACAAGCAGCCATGGAGTGAATGCCCAATGTTATTTGGGAGATTGAGTGACCAAATTATTATTCTTAGAATTTATTTTTTGAAGGGATTATTACCCCCGGAAAGTGATCCTCTGATCAACTAACAACCGGGTTCCTACTTAATACAAGGAAAACAGAGGCGTGTGAAGTAAGCAAACTTGCTTAAGGTTTCGCCCTGCTTGGGAATCAAACCCCAGATCCTCTCGCTTGTGATGCAAATGCTCTAACCAATATCCTGCAGGACTCCACATGTCCCCTGGAAATTGATCCACCAATTGACTAATAACCGGGTTCCTACTTAATGCTAGGTGAACAGTGAGATGGTGCTTGCCTTGTCAACCAGACATGCTCAGAGCTCCTCTCAGTCTCTGAACGAAACCAAGAATATATATATCAAATATATATCAAATGCAAGGATTAAGAAAGCAGAAAATATAAATCAGATTTCCCATTCCCAAACAGTCCACTGCTAGAAGCGAATCACATGACTTTCCTTTGTATCATATCTTTGGAATGTGCTATTTTTACATTTTTGGTCATTAGATATGAGGTCCAACATTTTCATTAGTCCTGAGATCAACAGAGACATTTTAATTGCCTTTACAATGTTAGTGACTTGAAAGAGTTTTTTTTAAAAAAAACAATGGTTCTGTTTTTATGGGCATAAGTACTTGGATTAGTGTGCACTGTAATGCAGTATTTCCAGGAAACCACAGCTAGGTTTGCAATGCATTTCAGTAAGTGCAAAAGGCATTTTGTATTATCAGATAAATATTATTTATTTAATTTAAAATGACATTCCTGGTCCTTTAGTAATAAATATAATAATCATATATCACTGCATTATCATTGTAATTGTAAACTATCCCTGATTTTCAGGGAACAATTACATGTAGCTTCACATTGCACTAAAAAATTAAAGAGGCCTGTTTTCCTATTCTACTATATCCTCAAAAGAATTCTAATAATTTTAAGTATAACCTGCTTTTTATTTAAAAGAGAGGCCCATTTTCCCCCCATTTGGGAGCCAGATACAATTTGGAATGCAATTCAAAACAGCACTAAGGCAATTGTGAATTGTTAATATCAGGCCATCATTTTTATAATTGACAGTTATTGGATGCTGTAGTGACCCTCTCAGTTATATCTTCTTGGCTTAACAAGTGACCAGTGAGGCCAAAAACATTCCTCGGGTAATGGATAGTTCTTGGTCACTGTGAAGTGATAAAAGGTAATTTACTGAACGATTCTGCAGTGAGGAAAGCACTGCTGATAACAAGGGGGCTGAGAATCCTCTGTTCATTAACATGAGTGAAAAAGTAGAGGTATAACAACAACAATAAATCACATTTCATGTCGGGAAG